AGTCACCCGGCTGGCGTTACCATGTTTCAAAAATGTCTTATTTTAATTATCTTTAAAACAATGTTCTGAAACTTCTTGTGTGTGTGTGTGTGTGTGTGTGTGTGTGTGTGTATAAGTAAATGTCCTGGAAACCCTTCTTAAAATGCAGAATCCCGGGCCTTTGCCTGTTAGGTTCTGAATCAGTAGGTGTGGGGTGAGCCAGAGAACCTGCATTTTCATGTATACGCACCCGGGGATTCCGATGCTGATGTCTAATGAGCGGGTGGATCGAGTCTCCCCGAGCACCTCACTTCCCCTCACACACTAAACTTTAGGTGCAGGGCTCTGCCTTCTGTTCTCGAACGCACCAGTGTCTCCTATGTTGGGGAAATTCTGCTGGCTCTGGCCTTTGCCTGGAGTGCTCACTCCGTCGATCTTCGTGTGGCCGTCTCTTAACATTCAGGTTTTGGCTCAAGCCGCACCTTCTTACAGAAAGTACTGCCTACACTTCCTGCACGCAGGCACGCAGCGAACACTGCTTTCCCAAGTCCCTTTTTTGTGAAGGGATCCTCTCCCACCCCAACTCACCGTCCGCCCCCTTTCACTCTTTGCTCCTCTTTGGAAGTTGGCGTTAGGTGTTCCCTCATTTTCCCAGACTGTAAACTCCATGAAAACTGGGATCTCCTCTGACTCATTCACTGTGTGGTCTCGATGCACACGAACAGAACGGCGCCTGGCATAGGTTTGGGGCCCACCGAAATTTGGTCCCGGACACAGGGAAAAAAATGAAATATCGTCTTAAAGGTAGGAGGGAAGAGGGGTCTGTAGGTCAGAGAGCCAAGCATTCAGTGCCGTTGAAAGTTTTCTTTGAAATGATTCCTTTCATCTTTAAAACGTATCACCGTGAACTTTCCCCACTGTTCCGTAATGCAACCCTATTTGTTTTAGTATAAGAGTAATTCTTCAAATGACTTACCATTAGATAAAATCGACGCTCCGGGAAGATGAGCCACATGGACACCTCCAAGGGCATTCAGGAATATGAATAACTCAGTGTTAGAACTAACCACCGTGTAAGAATAGAGCTAGTCTTATTAGAGCGAGACGGACAACTCTGGGATCGTAGAACAAAATTCTAGAGGGACATTTGGCTGCAGAGGTCTGGTGACCCAGCAGCCTGACTGCTCTCCTGGGTCCCCCCCGCCTCTGGATCAAGACGCTCTGGGCCCCTCCATTTTACTGCTGCTTTAAATTCACGTGGGGACCCAGTGAACACTGCTTTTCAAACTCGCTTATGCTATTACCTGTCAGAAATGCTGAGACACATCGGGTTTTCAAATCCCTATATGCAGAGAGAAAAGAAAACTAAAATGCATAAAGAACATTTTTTAAGTTTATTTATTTTGAGAGAGAGAGAGAGAGAGAGAGAGAGAGAATCCCAAGCAGGCTCCGTGCTGTCAGCTCAGAGCCCTACATGAGCCACCCAAGTCATTCCAAGAACATTTTTAAGAAAGTCTCCTCGGGTTTACTGGTTTCACGTTTCCTACAGTTGCATGGCAGGGATGACTTGCCGATTGGTGGCCTTGCTTCCTTCCCTTTGCTGCCTTTGGACAGCAGCCCGTTGTCTCTGCTAACGGCTCACGCTCCCAGTGTGGCTGTTTCTGACTCCCTGTTCTAACAACTCATCCCAATAGAACTCGGACTCCACGTGGGAAAAGATGTTCAAGGTTTGGTTCACGGACTTACCTCGTCGTAGTTTTTAAGGTCTGAGGCGGGTCTGTAGAATCTGTGCTTTCTCATCATCATCCGGAATAAGCAGTTAGTTTCTAGGGTCGCCAACCAAGGTTGAGAAATGATGAATTTCACTTTCTAAGACGTTGGCCACACGAGACCTTCCCTTTCAGCGCTAGACTGAGGGATGCTAGTTCTTCTGAGTGGCCAGACCGAGGACTGGCCCCAACTCTGCCCTGCTCTTCAGGTTAGCCCTGGCTTTTGGGGATGGTCTTACCTCTCTTATTGGATGCAGCGTGCCATAAAATGAACATGGCACTCCCGTAGGACAAGGAAGCTCATCTTTTCCAGGGGCTAATTCATAACCCAATGTTTTAGCTGAGAAGCAAAATGGGTTCCAGGTATCTTTTTGGGCACTGAGTAGTGACGTACGTGATCTTAGAACAATCATTTATCCCTTCTTCTCTCATCTGCTAAGAGGGGTCAATAGTGATCTACTAGAATTGTTCTAAGTATTAAATGCATGGAAATCAACTACATCTGAGCCTGGAGAGTATCAAGTGTCCAAAAGGCGTCACTAGCATGGCTAGCAGTAGGAGTGATGTTTTCTTAAAATCTGAATATGGCTTTGTCTGCTGGGGATTTGGCAAGAATGACCTCGTGTATTGGCAGGAATCCGTCAATATCGATCAACGAGTGTTTATTGAGAATCTGCAACATGAGTAAGGTGCTCGCCTAGAAATAACTAGTCGAGATGGTGTGACTAACCCTACCTTCAGGAGTTTCTATTGCCATCCCTGAATTAAACTTTCTGTGATTCTAGGATAGAATCTCAGTGTTTGAGACAGGCCAGCTGGCCTTGGGAAAGATGAAGAAAAAAACTCGACTTCCCTTACGGGCAGCATTGTGAATTATAGCCATTCACCTTGGCTTTGCCCTGTAGCTATGTGACACGGGTATTAACCATGAGAAGTGACATGACAGGAAAGGAGTGCGCAGCAGACTCTTGGAGTCTGGAAAGCTCATCGACAAGTGACAATTGAATCGAACAGATCTGAAAATCTTCATCCTACGGAAGAAGTGGGAAAAGGAAAACGAGTTTGCATCTCAGAGCCTCGGGAAGGCCCATGAACTAGGGATATCAGGCGTTTCCGAATGTGCAGGTAAAAACAGAACCGAAACCCAGTAGATAAGTGGAAGGGTCGTATAGAAAGCAGGTGGACTCCCAGAAGCCAAAACGCAGACAGGTGACTGCCTCTGCCACACGTGGTTGAGCTCTGCAGGATCACTTTCTGGAAAGGGTGGATCAGAGGACAACTTTCTCCCTTATGGCTTTCAGAAGTATCGCTTGGAACTTTCCGTTTTGGATCTTTGCTGAGTTCTTCTACTCTTTAAATTCTCCTGTCTGCTCTTTACATTGGTTATTTGGAATGTTGTAATTCTGTATGCCTGTTCTCCATAGACTCTCCAATGATGATCTGGTCAACATCCTTGGCTTCAGATCCCACCAAAAGCTGATGATCGTTAAGAGCTGTCACATCCAACCCTGGCCTCATGTCTACGACGGGCCACCTGAGAACCACACTGGATGCTCCCCAGGCCCCGCGTATCCCCCAAAACCTTCTTTATATCTGTGTATTTCACCTCCATTTCTCCTCTCGTCTCCTACCATTTCCTCCGAGCCAAAGGCTGGGAGGGATCCTCACTCTTTCTTATCCTTCATTCTTCAGGAGTTGTTCTTAATCCCTTCCCATTCTTGGGTTCTATTAAACAAATGGCGCCAAGTGAACAGAAGAAAGAGCCAGATCTGGAGGAGTCTGTGTTCTCCCTGGGATGCTGACATATGAACATTATATGGCATTGGAGCAGAAATGCTCTGAGTGATGGCTCTGTGAAGTTCCACAGCACAGAGAGAAGGAAGTGATGAATTTCTGGGTGGAGAGCAATTTCAAAGTTTCCAGAGAGATTCCATTGCAGCTGAGGCTTGAAGAAAGCATTAGCTTTTTCTCCTTAAGTGGATTTCCTTCTTTTAAGTTTATTTATTTTGAGAGAGAGAGGGAGAGAGGGAGGGAGAGAGAATCCCAAGCAGGCTCCATACTGTCAACACAGAGCCTGACATGGGGCTTGGTCTCAGGAACTGTGAGATCATGACCCGAGAGGAAACCAGGAGTCAGATGCTTAATTGACTGAGCCACCCAGGCGCCCCAGAAAGCATAAACATTTTTAGAAGAAGCAGCAGCCAGAGGATGCCGCCACGGGCCGGGCATGGCCCACGGACACGAGTGGCTTGTTTGGCAACTGACGAGCCATTTGACCCTGGACCATCATTTGGCACAAGGAGTCCTGAGCCTAGCAGTAGTGAGGCTTCAGTCAAAATGTGGGTCATGAGGTGGGTGCCGGGCTTGGGTGACTAGACTTTATCCCAGAGGCAGAGGGATCTCACAATGAATAATGAGCAGGGAAGAGGTTAAAGTTTTGAAAGATTATTCTGGCAGCAACGAGGAGAACAGACTGGATGGGCTAGAGGAGATGGAGAATTTGAGGAATTATGGAACGTGTCCCGAGGTCAGATGGGTTCTTATGAAGACGACATCTCTGATGGAATAAGGAGGGTGAGGGCAGATGGGACCTCCTGATTATGATTTCCATGGAGTCATGTGTTATTTTAGACTCTATTTTCTTTGACTGGAGCACAGTATCGGCTCTTGGCCACCGTGCAAGGACGGGCATTCGAAAAGAAGACAATGTCCCTTTCATGTTTCAAAGCCTTTCAAATTAGCATGAGGCTCTCTACAAAAGAGAGCACATGGGCATCTTCCTGAAGCTTTTTGCCATGGGCATCGGATATCGGAACCTCAGGATGTAGGTCAGCTTGAGGCTCTGCACTGACAGTCCTCAAGCGCTGTAAGGACAAATCCATTCCCGGACGACATCACGCTCCAGGAGGGAGAGCTGCCTGGCGGGTCAGAGTGTGACCTGTGTCAGAGCGCAAGTCCCCCTCCCCCACCAAGCTGCCGATTCGTATGGAATCTACATTCCCGGAGACGCTGGCAGCCCAAATTCAAACTCGGTTCTAAATTAGCTCTTTTGCTAACGTGTTTCCTTGCCTAGAGGGATTTGGGAAATGGAGACAGTGCCTCTGCTATTGCCAAGAAAAAAAAAAAAAAAAAAAAAAAAAAAAAAGAAAAGCCTTATCTGAAAATACCAGAGCATTTTCTTCTCTTTTAAATTGGGTCAAATGCACTCAATTTAATTGGTAAATTTTTACAACAGAAAATAGATAAGTCCTCTGCAAGCAGGGCTTCCTGCTTTAAAATGCAGCTGAAAGCATTATTACACTATAAAAGAGTTGTTGTGTTGGTCAGTCTGAGGAAGGGCTTAGCTTGGCCCCGGCAGAGGAAGGAGGTGCATGTTAAGAGATATTGTCTGACTGTAAATCATGGGTTGCAAAAAGAGGTAAGTGTTGCGAGCGAATGCAACCAAAACATTCAGGGAAACCGTGGCACAGGCTTTTCCCAGAACCGGAAAATCTCAGATCTCAGGGAACAGACTGGACTGAACAGGGACCCAGGGTCTCAGCCACTTGGAGCATTAAGACTCAAAGTATGTTCAGCCATGTGGAATTGGAGAGCTTTTTGGTTTTGTGTGTGTGTGTGTGTGTGTGTGTGTGTGTGTGTTTACAGCATCAGCTGTGCTTTTTAAAAGCTTTATTTAAATTAGCATTCCGTAAAATTCACCTACTGTAAGTTTACAATTCAAAGTTTCAGAAAATTTATGGGGTGGTGCAGCCACCACCAAATTCCCGTTTTAGACCATTTCCATCACCCCTTAAAATTCCCTCGAACCTGCTTGCAGTAAAATCCTCACTCCCAGTTCCAGGCAAAAACGAATTTACTTTTGGTGTCTATAAGTTAGTCGCTTCTGGATATTTGATAGAAATGAATAATAAGCAGTCTTTGGTTCCGGCTTCTTTACACTTCGCGTAATAATTCTGAGGTTTATTCGTGTTGCAGCAGGTATCAGTGTTTCATTGATTTTTTTTTACTGCTGAGTTGTATGCTGCTGAAAGGCTACACTACACTTTACCCATTCGTTGGGTGATGGACAACTGGGTTGTGTCCAGGGTTGGCTATTATGAATCACGATACTATATACGTGCACACACGAGTCTTTGTGCGGATGTATGTTTTCATTTCTCTTCGGTAGATTCCTGGGTATAGGGTTGCTTGGTCTCATGATTGAGTTGCTGGGTCTGTTTAATGTTGGAAGAAACTTCCAAAGTTTTCCGAAGGGGCTGTACCATTTTATATTGCCCCTTGGCAACGTGTGGGGGTTCCATTTACTCCACATCCTCGTCAACACTTGGTGCTGTCTGCCTTTCTTATTATACCCATTTTCATGATCGTGGGGCTCTCCCAATTACTAACGATAGATACCTTTTCGTACGCTGATTAGTCATTTGTATGTTTTCTTTGTCGGAATGTCTGTTCAAGTGTTCAAGTCCTGTGCCCGGTTTTCACGTGGATTGTTTAGAATCTTATTATTGAGTTACAAATGTTTTTATATATTCTGGAAACAAGTCCTTCATCAGACACATGATTCACAAATATTTTTCCCAACGTGTGACTTGTTGTTTTCATTTTCTTAACGATGTCATTGGAAGTGCAGACAATTTTCATTTTAATGGAGTCTGATTTATCAGTTTTTTTTTTCTGTTACAGCTTATGCATTTGGTATTGTGTCTGAGACCTCTTTGCCCAACCCAGTGTCACAAAGATGTTCTCCCCTGTGTTCTTCTAGAAGCTTTGTCATTTTGGCTTTTATATTTAGTATACGACCCGCTAGAAGTTAAATTTGCGTACGGTGTGAAATAATAGTCTCAGGCTTTTGTTTTGTTTTGTTTTCCGCATATGTTGCTCCAACCTTCCTGACGCCATTTGTTGAAAAAAAAAATCATCCTTTTCACTGCTCACTGCTTTGTTGAAAATCTAGTTTGTCATAAATGCAAGCATTCCTTTCTAGGCACTCAGTTTCCTTTCACCGATCGATACGCCGATCCTTCTCACACACCGCACGGTCTGGATGATGGTCGCAGTACAGTAAGCTTCGAAATTTGGTGGTGATCTCCAACCTTGTTTTTTATTTTCAAAATTGTTCGGCTCCTCTTAGCATCTCCATACAAAAGTAGGTCAGTTCCTTGTCAGTTTCTATAGATCAGTCTGCTAAAATATTGGTAGAGATGGTGTTGAATCTGTAGATCAGTTTAGTGAGAAGTGCCATTTCTCCAATATTTACTCTTCGAATCCATGGACATGGGATATCTTTCTACTTACTTAGTTCTTCTTAGCAATCTTTTGTAGTTTTCAAATTATGCACTTCTTTTGTTAGAATTATCCCTAGTATTTTATTCTCCTTGATGCTATTGTGAATTACATTATTTTCTTAATTTCATTTCTGATTGTGCATTGCTAGTGCATGCTGCAGTCTTGCTAAACTCATTTATTAGCTCTAGAAGTTTTGTTGCGGATTCCTTAAAATTTTTTACATATGGGGTTGTGTCAAGCATGAACAAAACAGTTTACTTCTTCCTTTCTGATTCATCTTTCTTTCTCCCCAGGTTTTCCTTTACTTCCTCCCTTCCTTCCTTCCTTCTTTCCTTTTCCTCTCTTATTTCGTATGTCAGTCTAGCTAAAAGCTTGCCAATCTCCTTGATCTGGTCAAAATTACAAGTGTTGTTTTCACTAGATTTCTGTTTTTATTTCGCAGATTTCCACTTTTTAGTAAAAAGTTTATTTATTTTGAGAAAGAGAGAGACAGAGAGAGTGTGAGCAGTGGAGGGGCAGAAATGGAGGGGGAGAGGGAGAATCTCAAGCAGGCTCCACATTGTTAGTGTGGGGCCCGTAGCAGGGCTTGAATTCAGGAATTGTGAGATCATGACCTGAGCCAAAATCAAGAGTCAGATGCTTAACGACTGAGCCACCCAGGCACTCCTCACTGGTATCCATTTTAGTTTTCCCCCTATTTGCTTTCTAATTTGTTTTTCTTTGTCTTTCTTAAAAGGGAGGCTCAGTTTATTGATATAGGGGTTCTTCTGACATAAGTATTTAAAGCTAGAATTTCCCTCTAAGCAATCCTTTACATGCACCCCTTACATTATATGTTGTTTTAAACTTTTTATTCTTTGAAAATATATTTCAATTACCTCTATGGTTTCTTCTTGACCCATAGGTTTTATGGAACTGTGTTGATTTTTAAATATTGGAGATTTTTTCCATGTATCTGTCTTTTGTGGATCTTGAATTTAATGCCATCATTGCCAGAGAATGGCCTTTGTATGGTTTTGATTATTTGAAATTAATTGAGGGGCGCCTGGGTGGCTCAGTCAGTTAAGTGTCTGACTTTGGCTCAGGTCATGATCTCACGATCCGTGAGTTCGAGTCCCGCGTCGGGCTCTGTGCTGACAGCTCAGAGCCTGGAGTCCGTTTCAGATTCTGTGTCTCCCTCTCTCTCTGCCCCTCCCCTGTTCATGCTCTGTCTCTCTCTGACTCAAAAATAAATAAACGTTAAAAAAAAATTGAAATTAATTGAGACCTGTTTTGTGGCCCAGAAGATGATTTATCTTACAGACACATATGTGTGTGCTGTATCTGGGCTGGGGTGTGCGTTTTCGAGTCTGTGTTGGATTTTCTTTTGGTGAGGCTTCCTTACCTCTCATATCTCCTCAAGAGAGGGCACCCCGGCTCTGACGGTTACGAACGTATGGGTTCCTTTTTTATCTTAATGTTTATTTCTGAGAGAGAGACAGAGTGCCAGCAAGGGAGGGGCAGAGAGAGGGGGAGACCCAGAATCCGAAGCAGCCTCCGGGCTCAGAGCTGTCAGCACAGGGCCCGACGTGGGACTCAAACCCATGCACTGCGCGATCATGACCTGAGCGCAAGTCCGACGCTTAACCGACTGAGACACCCAGGAGCCCCCCAGGAACCCCTGGTTTCCTTGGGCCTGCTCCTGTCTCCCCTGTGCATATGCAAGACCTGTGGGCCACCCAGGTTATGTGGGAGCTTGTCCAGGCCCATCGTGGCTACCTTGCCTTGTGCAATTCCCTGTGAAAAGCCCAGGCCAGTTTATTAACCCAAGAGGCCCCCAGCCCCCACGTGCTTGCCACTTGGACTGACAATGTCCCGAGTCCAGTGAGGCCCTTGGGGAGTGGTACTGGAGTTTCTTCCCGTTGCAGCCTATGCCGAGCTGCTCAAATTATGGTGCCCTGGAGGGTGCGGTGCTCCTCAGGTCGTTGTCTGACTTTTGTCCCTTTCCAGAGGAGGGAGATGTTGTCTGGGACAGCGGTGTCCAACCTCCCTGAGGCTTTTTGAAAAAAGGTGATTGTCTACTGATGGAAGTTGGACTCCTGTTTGCCCTCCTTTGCATCCTCTCTTCTAGCTTGACACCTGCTCCCCGGGGAGATCCCCGGCCACGCGCTGTAATCCAGAGACTGCCTATAATTTGGGAGACTGAAGCCCAGAAAGGGAAGGGGCTGCTTCGAGTTCACTTTCAGAGCCGCTGAGCGGAGGGCGTCGGGACACGGGCTCGCGGCAGGTGGAACCGGGGATCTTCCGGCCACGAGAGAGGCCGCACCTTCCGCTGTCGTTGGGAGAGCCGGGGGCTCCAGACTCGCGTCTCGTCCTGTTGGGGTGGGAACCCCCCACGGCCCTGACTCTGGAAGGCGGGGAACCCCCCGGGAACCCCCCCCCCCACCGTGAGAACACTTGGCTTTCCTCCGCTCCTCCCCACCAGCTGCGCCCTCCTCGTCCTGTCATAATCACCACCCACGAGGGTCACTTCCCGCGTGCCTGGTTGCCTCGGCACGTGGCGGCATGGGGACACCTGGTGTGTGTCCCATGAGCGTCCTCAGCCCGTTCTGTGAGCTGCCTCCTGGGGGTCGGGCACGGAACTTCATTGTTCACTGAACCCCTATGACAACAGCCTCCCAAGAGTCCCCCCACCCCCACCCCCCGGTCCCTCCGTGTGACACACGGGCTACGAGAGAGGTTCAAGAACACGTCTGAGCCCTCATGGGGATGGACGAGGCCGGGATCTGACCTCACGTCTGTGTGTTTCCAAAGTCTGTGGTTTCTGCCGTCAAACCACGTGCATCTGCAAAACCGTGAAAGCCTCATGGGTGGCAGCGGGGGGTGGGGGGGTTGGTGGCAGCAGGGGGCGTGGCAACACCTCCAGCCTGAGCCCGAATTCCGGGGCATAACCCGATCCAGCAGGGCACCGTAAGGAGCCACACACACCGCACACACATACAAGGCACACAGGCACATCCTGTCTCCCGCCTCCCACGTGATCCCGGCTACATGCCCCTCCCCCCCTCCACGTGGAATCACCCACTGTGCAAAGAGGACAGATCACATGGCTTCTCCTCTTTTTCAATTATGGCACTTTGGCTCAGCATCTAC